GTCAGCTTGACTGGTGGCATCTCAGGGTATGCTCTGAACTCCTGTGACATAAAAATATGTATTGGTCTCTGTCCCCCAGTTCCTGGCACAGTTTCTAAAACATTTGGAATTTTTTGAGTGATGGGGATGACTGTTGGAGGATGGGGGCTGCTCTCTAACCAGATGAATCAACCTTGGGATTAAAGGATTGGAACTTTCAACCACAGTCCCCCACCTTTGGGGAGAGGAGAGGGGCTGGAGGTTGAGTTGATCACCGATAGCCAATGCTTTATTTAATCAGTCATGCCTACATAACAGAACTTCCATAAAACCCCTAAACTACAGGTTCAGATTGCTTCTGGGTTCTCGAATGCATCCACATGGCAGCTCCTAGGAGACAGGGACTCTTGCTCTCTGGACCAGCCTGGACCTTGCCCTCTGTACCTTTTCGTCTGGCTGTTCATTTGTATCTTTTATAATGTCCTTTATAATAATCTGGTGACAATGAGTAAAGTGTTTCCCTGAGTTTTGTGAGCTGTTACAGCAAATTATCCAAAATGGGGAGGGAGTCGTGAGAACCCCTGATCTGAGGCCAAGGAGGTGACCTTGGGACCCACTATGTGTGATCTTCAGTGGTGCAGTCTTGTGGGACTGAGCCCCTTACCCTGTGGGGTCTGTGCTAATTCGAAGTGGTTAGTGTCAGAATTGAACTGAATTGAATTGTACTATACCAGGTGGCGCCTAAGCTCTTAAGCACATATTTAAATATTTAAATGAGAATTGGAGAATTGCTTGGTGTGGAAAACCCACACGTTTGGTGTCAGAAGTGTCATGAGTAGAGAAACTTTTTCGTTGAACTCACAAGTGGACCTCAAATCCCCGAGCTGGTGCCGGCCAGTGGCACCTTTCTTCCAGCAGAGGGCGCACTCCCCAACCTTAGGGACTCAAAGCTCAGGATCCAGGAGGCCTAAGAAATAGGGCTTCCGCTTAGCGCAGAGAGGGTCCAGTTTTTTCATTTAAATATTTAAATATGAACTTAAGAGCTTAGTTTACTTTTACACTTTATCGCATTTTCCTGAGGGACTGCCCTTATCTGCGATTACTTTCTTTCAGAGATACTCTTTCTTGAATGGAATCCATGCTTCATCCAGCCAAACCTATAAACTTGACCACAGTCATGTGATGATTTTAAGCAATTAGCCAAGTGGCCATAGACTAAACAAGAATATTGTCCTTACAAAACAAGGAAAAACACTGACAAAAATTTATTTCATTTTTTACAATACTCAAAGTGGCCTCAAATTTCTAATGTTTCTTACAAAAAAGAGATTCTTTTTTAAAAAAAATCTTTGAATTTTTAACATCATCTGAATTTGTGGGTGTTACGCCTCCCCCCCACCACATGCACACATCTCGAATGGGAAAAAAAATAACGGTACCTGGTCGCAGGTTGGGTTCTCTGGAACACAAGCCCTGAGCCAGAGGAGGTGAAGGGCGGGGGGCAGAGCCTGTGATGCAGACCCCACATTACCCCAGCCAGCCCCCTGGGTGCTCCAGAGCTGGGGTTGTCCCAAGGTGGCCTTAGATTCCTGCATAGACCAGTCACTGGATCAGGCCACCCTGACCTTGGGTCAGACGGCTCTTTGAAGGGGTGGCACTGAAGGCCGTCTACTGACAGGGCTCACAGCAGCTGGGGGAATAAGTCCTTCACCGAAGGGGGCAATCCACCCTGGGGTGGAGGCCGCAGTACCCCTTCTGCTGTCTGCCAGGATTTGTTGGTGCCCTTCCCTTAGCCAAGGCCCTGCTGGGCTCAGATGTTAGGATGCTATGCCCGCCCTGCTGGCTCTCGGCCCAGCCTCAACATTTCTTTAAGCTGGTCCTCTGCTTACTGGCCAACCTCTCAGAGACAGAATCCACACCCAGAAAGATGGTTGTAGAGAAACACTGGCGGTTGTCAGGTGTTAACCATAGCGTATAAAGGAGAAGGAATGAGGAGCCAGCTTTGCAGGGGTGAATTCGTAACTTTGTCCTGCTTTGATTCTCAACACCAAAGCATACCCTACATACAGTCACCCTGTTATTCTGAATGCTTATTGTTTTTCACCTTACATACCACCTTCTGTCCCTACTAACTGCCTCTCCAAGGAGTGTCCCCCTTGCTCAGTTTTCATTCCTTGAACATGGTGGCCCGCAGACCCGTGATGGGCTGGAGCACTCCCGCTTGCTGACTGACTGCTCCTGTGTCTTATGACCTGTTCCCTCTTGCCTATGGCATGGGGCCTTTCTCCAAGCTCTTATCTTTGGGCTTTTTCTTTCTTGACTGGGCCACCTTATTCAGAGCTGGGGTGCACCTACTTCTCTCCATGGTGGACTCCTCAGCCCTGAGTATGCAGCCCTGACCTCCTCCCCAGATGTGCTGGCACCTGAATGCCTGCGAGTCCCACCTGTAGAGGCGATGTGTTGCCAGGAAGGCCGGGAGCAAGCAGGGAAAGTCAGTCCTTGGCATTAAGCTCCATAGAACCCTTCTGCCACAAAGTCAATAATGATCGCTAACATTTACATAGCACTCAACTACGCACTGGGCGCTGTTCTAAGCACTTGACTCATTAACTCATTTAATCCTCACAACAGCCGGATGCACTAGGTGTTATCATCACTTTACAGATGAGGAAACTGAAGCCAGAGAGATTAAAGTAACACAGCTAGTAGGAGGTCGAGCCAGGACTCAAGGCAGCCTAGACCCCAAGGCCATGCTCTTTACAGTTCTGCCAGCTTTAACACACTTTGTGTGGAGATCCCCAATTCTGGGTGACTCTGGCCCCAGAGGCAGGCATGAGGCCCAGGCAAGGTAACGAGATATCTCATTCCCAGGGCCTCAGTGACTGGTTCAGGAGAGAGCTTGGGAGCCAAGCCAGGCCAGACAGTATGCTTTTCTGGAACTCTCCTGCCAGAGCCAGTGGAAATAAGCGCCTCTTCTTCCAGGAAGGTGGCTGAGTGGCTTGAGGATGGAGCCAGCACAGATAGAGGGGCAGAGCTGAAAAGACAGCTGGGCCCAGCCACGCCCGCTCTTGGCAATTGAGCTAGGCGGCTAATTCCTTCACCTAATTAGGTCTGGTTTCTGTCCCCTCTGATCTTTCGTTCATCTTTGCAGTTTCAGTATCTAGCAGTAGCTGGCACATAGTGGCACTTACCTGGTTCAGAAAATATTTGTTGACAGCATTTGGGGTCTACCTGCCTGGCAGCTTTGTTGCCTGTTGTCTGCTCTGGGCTCTGGCCAGGTTGAGCTGCTTGACTACCCACTGCCACCCACCCAGCACCCATCATGCCTGTCTTAGCTTTCGTTCTTATGGCCTCTGTCAGGGGACACCATCTCTCCCCTCTTTCTAGGTCTGACTCCTTCGCTTCTCTGGGGGACCCTGATTACTGGGGTCTGAGTTGACAATCTCTTTCCTCTGAATTCTTCACTTTCACTACATGGGAACAGTTCGTGTGTCACCTACAGAAGGTGGCAGCTCCTCGAGGGAAGGGTAGACACACCTGCTTCGTCTTTGTATACCCTTAAGGCCTGGCATCAGATTTCTTCATATCAGCCATCTGCAGGGTAGGGGTGGCAAATGTGTGCCTCTGGGGGCCAGGAGGGTGACATCAGTCACTGATGTGGGCCAGTCGGGTCCCTCTTAAAGCAGACAGCTCAGCTGCCAGTTGCCTCAAAGAAATAAGACCCCTAGGTTTTTCAAGAGAAGCCGAGATCCATATTTTTATGTAAAATCTCCAGCTTTTGAAATGTTAGCAATTCATTCACAATTTGAGAAACACTGTGTAGGGCAAACACCCTCATCAGTAGGCTGCTGCCAGCTGAGGGTCCCATTTGGAGATGCTGCTGGAATTGAAGATGGATAAATGAATGAATCCACAGCCAGGGCTGCAGCAGGAAGGCATGCAGGATGTGACCTGTGTAAGGCACCCAGCCAGGGACAGAAGTCGGGGCTGATGTCCAGTCCGACCTTTACTTACCACGTCATGTGACCAGTGTGGCGCTGTGTCCAGCCGGAGGGTGGGCAGGTGGCTTTCCAAAGCAGGTGGCTGCCTTTTTAAGGTGGACAGAGTCACAGACAAGAGTAAAAACCACGTAAAGAGACCTGGCTACGGGGTGACCCACTTATCCCGGATTGCCTGGGGTTTTCTTGGTTTTAAATTTGAAAAGTCCCACAGCCCAGGAATCTTTTAGGCCCAGGCAGACCGGTGTGGTTGGTCACCCTGGGATGCCTGTTCCCGCCCTGGCCCGTGGGAGGATCATAATATGGCTGCTGAAATGTGCAAGCTCATTAAGTGCCGGACACCACGTGTTAGGACCGTGTGGCTTCCCTCTTGTGTCCATAACATCTTCACGGTGTGGATTCGTCATCCGTTCTGCAGAGCAAAGTCAGAGGTTCAGAGGGTGAAGTGATGCCCGGGGTCCGTGCTGGGGTTTGGACCTCACTGGTCCGGCTCCGCGCCCTCGTCCTCTCTTCCTCCAGTCTTCTTCCTCTGCAGAGGGCCCCAGCAGGGCGGCCTGAGCCTGCTGGGCCAGTAGCCCTGGGGAGGGGCAGGGCTCACCTCCTCAGGAATGTACTTATTTGGCTGGAGGTCCAGCCAGGACGAGTCGTTGCGGGCCTGCGACTCCCACGCCTGGCCCCGTGCCCCCCACGCCTGGCCCCGTGCCCTGCCCAGGCTCTTCATTTTCTGTGCTTTGGCCCCGAACCCTGAATGGGATCACCTGAGAAGCCCTCAGGGAACACCTTTCTGTTTCTAGAACACCCTCCCCCGTCTTGTCCCTCCACCCTGTGCCCACCGCACGGACAAGGGATAAGGCCGGCGCTTAAAAAATAAACACTGCTGGTGATTTATTGTCCAGTCTGGGGAGAGCTGTCCAGGGTACGGGTGGGCGAGGGATCAGGGCATGAGGGTCCTAGGGCCTCGGGAGGCTGCCGAGCCTGTCCTTCGGGGCCCCTGCACAGGGTCTAGTCACAGCTGAGGCCAGTTTAGCGTGGGGTGAGGTGGCTGGTGAGGTAGCGCACGGCCGAGCGGATGCCCTCTATGGTCCTCTGCTCCGCCCTCTCTAGCATGCGGACGATGAAGAGCATGGCTGAGTTGGTCCCTGCTGCCAGCCCCGAGGAGATGACCAAGCTGGCGTTCCTCAGGATGCTGGAGGCAGAGCGCAGTCTAGGCCCTGTGCTGCGTAGCAGGTCTGTCACTGAGCTGCGGCTAGAGGCCAGCAAGCCTGTGGCCATGCCCAGGGTGTCCTCAGACCACACTAGGACGTCTGCAAGGGAGCGGATGGACCCCTCGCCCCCAGCCAGCAAGCTGGTCATGGAGTGCAGGTAGTTGTCCTCCCCGCTGGCCATGTACAGGCTGGAGTCCAAGGGCCTCCCCAGGGCCGCTATGGAGGGGCCAGGTAAGGGGGGGACGCTGCCCCTTGGGGAGGGAGGAGCCTGCAGGTCTCCTGAGTAGTGTGTCACATCCAACTCAGGCACTACCTGGAACTCGGCTGAGGGCAAAGCTTCAGTGTCGGGGTGCAAGGCCTCCGGACGCTCAGGCTTCTCCACAACAGCTTCAGTGGTGCCGGTGGCCAAAGTGTCAAGCTGAATGTCGGCATCTGCAGTGCTCACAGCAGGCACATTCTGGGGGGACTGTGCCACAGCACTTGGGGTAGATAGAGCTAACTCCTGCTCCCCATCCAGGACACCCGCCGTCTGTGGTGTTTCTTCGTTAACCAGGGAGCCATGTTGGAAAATCTGAAGACTCTGAGTCATCCTTGCATTTTGCACCGGCCTGTCCTGTACTTGGTTCTGAAGGCTCACGGACATTTGCAGGGAACCTGGGGCCAGGTGGACGAGCTTGGGCTCCTGGCTAAACTCTGCAGCATCTTCATGCTTGTCCTTGTCCCCAGGCAGTGACACGGCCTCAGAGGTGTCTGGCTTGATGGAAGCCTGATCTACATCCTGCCATTCAGCTGACGCTGAAGTGCCGTTAGCCACTGGGACATCTGCACGGAGGGAGGCCTGACTCTGGGACCCCAGCGTTGGGCTCTCTGAAGACCTGCTGTCGCCATGTGTGGAGATGCTGGTGGCTGTGGCCTCTTCTGAGGGCACGGTGGTCATGTAGGCCCTCTGTCACTTTTGCTGGTTGAGGGAGTGGCCAGGGCCCTAATGGGCTGAGTTGTCCAGGTAATGAGGTCACAGGAGGCTCTGGGCAGCTGGCGATGTCACAGGCACCTGAGCTTCCAGAGTGGCTGCCTAGTGGGCTGAGTCCACGGGACTCTTTGCAGCTGAATTTGCAGGTGCATAAGGAAAAGTGAGGAGGTGTGTGTACAGGTGCAGGCACCCTAAGAAATCATGATGGCTGTGACTCTGATGAGAAAGAATGAATGCAGCTCTTGATAAATAATAAATCTGGGACCACTCCCGGCACCTCCTTGTCCACAGGGGATCAGTCTCTGATTTAGCCAGTCTTTCTGCAGAAGGTCAGTTTCCCAGCAGTGGTGAATAGGAATAAGCAGCTCCTGGCCCTGACCACTTTTGGTAGTGGGGTACTATGGCCTGAATGTTTGCGTCCCCCCCAAATTAATATGTTGAAAAGTAATCCCCAATGTGATAGCATTAGGAAGTGGGGCCTTTGGGGTGTGATTAGGTCACGAGGGTGGAGCCCTCCTGAATGAGATTAGTGACCTTATACAAGAGATCACATGGAACCCCCTGGCCCCCTCCTCCATGTGAGGTCGCAGTGAGGAGACGCCCGTCTATGACCCAGGAAGTGGGTCCTCGCCAGACACCGAACCTGCAGCCTGAATGGACTAAGACAGGGTTAACCCTCAGATA